CAGGAGTGTCAATTGGTAAAGTCAACAACAGGGAGTCACTGTGCACTTACTCCTCATGTAGGATCTCTGTCCTTAATGTGCTGTGCATTGAGATTTAATGCTATAACGAGTACTCAAACAATATATTTCACTTTGTGTTTCTATGGGGGTGCAAACTGTTGAAATCTTTACTTAATGCATACTAAACTGATCCTCTGTTAAAAAAAAAAAAAAAGAAAGAAAGAAAGAAATTATCAACTCCCAACTTGACTCTCACTGGGATTAAACATGACAATAGGTCTGATCTGATTTCATCATCATTTTAAAAAAATCATCTATTATTTTTCACTTTATGTTTCTGTGTGGGAGCAAACTGTTGAAATCCTTACTTAATGTATAGTAAGCTGATCTTCTGTATATTAAGATAATCGAAAATGAATCTTGATGTGAATGGAAGGGGAGAGGGAGTGGGAAAGGGGAGGGTTGCGGGTGGGAGGGACGGTATGGGGGGGAAGCCATTGTAATCCATAAATCGTACTTTGGAAATTTATATTCATTAAATAAAAGTTAAAAAAATAAAATAAAATAAAAAAATAATAGATGTGTCACACTTATGCACAATATCAATAGTAGAGCAAACTGTGAAGAGGGACTTACAGGGACTGTCTATACCATCTACATTTTCCTATAGGCCTGACAAATAAGTCTACGGACTTTAAAAATGTCTAACATCTATTCCTGAGTTCCTCTCTTTTGAGAGACAGAAGGTAACAAAGTGAGAAAAAGGCAAAGAAGGCCTTCTGTAAGTGGACGGGTCTACAAGAATCCATTGCTTTCAACAGACAGCAACAAACAGTTTAAAACTAAAAACATAATACATTTATATTAGCACCAAAAAGAGGAAGACATGTATAAGTCTAACAATATATGTACATATTTACATGAGGAAAACTATAAAATATTGATGAAAGACCCAAAGCTCTAAATGAATGGAGATATTATACAATGTATGCATATATCATATAGTATCCTGTAAATATGTACAATTTTATATGTCTGTTAGAAAGCGGTTCTTTTTGAGATTTATTTCATATATTTGAAAGGCAGAGTAACGGGGGGTGGGGGGAGATACAGAGAGAGAGAGAGAAGGAGAAGGGGGAATGGGGCGAGAGAGATCTTTCATCTACTTGTTCACTCCCCAAATGGCCACAGTGGCCAGAGCTCTGGGCCAAACCAAAGCCAGGATCTGTGGGGAGTGTGAGCCTAAGGACTTAGGCCATCTTCTGCTGCCTCCCCAGGTGCATTAGCAGGGAGCTAGACAGAAGTGGAACAGCTGGGAGTCAAACTGGCACTCTCAGGCAGTGGCTTAACCCACTGGGTCACAATGCCAGTCCCTGTTAAAAAGTTTTAAGGTGAAAATTCTAATGAAAATAATCAATAAATGGAGAGATCTTCCATGTTTGTAGACAGGAAGACTCAATATTGGTAAGATGTTAGCTATTCCCAACTCTGTAGATTCAATGCAATCCCACTCAAAATCCCAGGCAACTGTTTAGTAGAGATTGACAAGCCAATTCTGAAGTTTATGTGGAAAGACAGAAAGTAGCCAACACAATTTTAAAGGAGAGGAACCAGTTCAGAGGATTGACACCACTGGGCATAAAGATATCAAGACAGTGTGGCCCTGGCAAAAAAGAGACAAAGAAACCAAAGGAACAGAACAGAGAGCCCAGACACAGACCCACAGGAGCACAGCCAGTGGATGTCTAACAAAGGGCCAAAGGCAACTCAGTGGGGAAAGGGGGGACGATGAGACAGCCACAGCAAAGAGATGAGTCCAGATAGAGACCTCACACCTTCCACAAAAGTAAACTCAAAACGAATCACAGACATAAATGCAAAAGCCAAAGCTGTAAAACTTCTGGGAGATAACATAAGGTAAAATTTAGGTGACTGGGTATAGTGGTGACTTTTTAGATAGGATGGACACCAAAGGCATAATCCATGAAAGACTGAACTGATAAATTATACTTCATTAGAATTAAAAACTTCCACTCTGTAAAAGACCCTGTGAAGGTAATGAAAAGGTAAGACAAAGAGGAAAATTCTTATAAAACACACATCTGATGAAGGACTGTTATCCAAAATTATACAAAGAACTCCTAAAATTCAAAACTTTTTGCTCAGTTTTTAAAAATGAACAAAAGACCTAAAAAGACACTTGGTCAGAGAAGATTTACAGTTAGTAAATAAGCAAATGAAAAAGTATTCACATCATATGTCATTAAGGAATTGCAAATTTAAAAAAACAATGAGATATTACTGCATACCATTAAAATGGCTCAAATCCTAAACACTGACAACACCAAACACTTGTAAGGATGTGACCCAATAGGCGCTCTCATTCGTTGATGATAGGAATGCAAAATGGCACAGTCACTCTGGGACAGTTGTGCAGTTTCTTATAAGGCTAAACACAGTGGTACCAAATGATCCAATAATCACTCCTTGGCATTTAACCAAGTGAATTGGAAATTTAGGTCCACACAAAAGTCTACAGATGAATAGCATCTTTATTCATAATTTCCCCAAGCTGGAAGTAACCAAGACCTCCCTTAACGGGTAGATAACTGGTACATATATACAATGGGATAATATGCAGTGACAAGAAGTACTGTGCTCTCAAGCCATGAAGAGACATGGAGAAACCTTAAATGCTTAAATGTTAAGTGAAAGAAACCTGTCTGAAAAGGCTACATACCATATGATTCCAATTATACAGCATTCTAGAAAGAGCAAAGCTATGGTGACCGTTAAATAATCAGTGGCTGCAGGGACTGGAGAAAGGAGGGAAGGGGGAGTAGATGACGCACAAGAGGTTTCTCAGGGCAGTGAAACGGTTCTGCACAATCCTATAGTGGTGGATTCGTGGCCCCAGGCACATCATTTGTCAAAACCCACAGAGCGAACACCACCAAGAGTGAATCCTAACATAGGCTATGGGTTTTAGTTAGTAAGAACCTATCAGATGGATCCATTGATTATCACAAGGAAAACATGTGGACTGTGGAACATTTTTAACAGCTTTGTAGCACTGACCTGACTCTCTGGTCAGGCTATTATCTATAAAAGGACGAATTTCTGTAAAACACAAACAAAATGAACATGGCTGAGACTCACGTTCATTTGCCTAAGACCACACAGCGCTTCATGAGGATACTCGGCACTGCCCTAGCAGGAGTGAGTTCCACCAGGGGGCTGGGTGGGCAGGTTTTATAGTGAGACTTACCCAAATCTCGCGACTGTCTCCTCAGTGTCGTCAAGGAAAAGGATGTTCAATCCCTCATTCGGTGAGAGTACTAGTTGTTTAGAGTGTTGTCTGGTGTACGGGAGTGTGTGGTGTTTACATCACGGGCTCCCTGGGGCCCCTGTGCAGATTCCAATCACAAAAGGCCAGGGTGGTGATGGCAACTTTGGCTGGCTCCCTCTGGTGGAGTTCTCCTTCCAAGTGCACCAGCCAGTGTTCCTACAGACACCAAATACATAATAATGACGCGAGCTCTGGCGCTATGGATACCGGATTTAAAGGGCCAGAGACTGTTCATTATAACCCTACTCTACCTTGTAGAGCGCCAGTAGCAATGGCAAAAGAAGAGGAATCATCAATGGGGTCTGGCCTCTTCCCTCTACAGTAAGGAAGAAGCCCAGAAAGCTCTAAAAGATGTCTCCAAGTCACTAGCAAGCCGTTAGGGACCTTGGTCAACCTGAATCCCAATCCAGGGCTCTTTCCATGTCAGCTTTCCTGAAGCTTTGCCAACTTCTTCTTCAAGTGGGAGAAGCAAAGATTGGTTCCAAAGTTGGAAGCACCATTAAGACATAAGCTCCAATCATGTGCTGGAGCCTATAGGACACAGATTGCATCTCATGTCATGACATCCGGGAAGGTAATAACTGAGGGAGTGACGGCCCACCAGAGATATGAAGGCACTTCAAAAACGGGGGTGGGGGGGCTGTGTTGTGGTGCACTGGGTTAAGCTACCACCTACGATGTCAGCATCTGTGTGAGTGACAGTTTGAGTCCCAGTTGCTCCACTTCCAATCCAGCTCCCTGATAACATGCCTGGGAAAGCAACTGAAGAGGGCCCAAACTTGGGTCCCTGCCACCCACATAGAAGACCCAGGTAGAGTTCCAAGCTCCTGGCTTTGGACTGGCCCAATCCTGGCCATTTGGGGAGTGAACCAGGGGATGGAAGATCTCTGTGTGTGTGTGTGTGTGTGTCTCTCCCTCTCTCTCTGCAATCTGTCTTTCAAATAAATAAATAAATAAGACAACTATTTTTAAAAAGTCCATGGAAACGTAAAATTAAAAGATATGTTTATGAGGCCAGCACTGTGGCATAAAAGGTTAACTCTCCACCTGTAGTTCCGGCATCCCATATAGGCCCTGGTTCGAGTCCTGGCTGCTCCACTTCCTATCTAATGTGCCTGGGAAAGCAATGGAAAATGGCCCAAGTCTTTGGGCCCCTGTTTCCACACGGGAGATCCAGAAGAAGCTCCTGGCTCCTGGCTTCAGATCAGCCCATCTCTGGCCATTACAGCATTTGGGGAGTGAACCAGTAGATGGAAGATTCTCTCTCTCCCCTCTCTCTGTCTCTTTCTGTATCTCTGCCTTTCAAATAATTAAATATACCTTTTTAAAACAAAGATATTTATTTTGGTGCAAAAAGTTTTTGAAACCCATGCATGGTTGTCTCTTAGTATGAATTTTCCATGTACATTTTGAAGACCCCACATACGCATGGATCTCAAAATGTTTTGTGTCGCTCCCCCTCTTCGTGGAGGAACGACACAGGACCCTGCGCTGTTCTTTTGTCTGCTCGGCCCTCCCCGGGTTTGCTGCTGGTTCTTCCCGGGTTGGCTACCGTCCCTTCCACCTCCGTGGAAGGGCGGTTCCCCCTGCCACATTCCCCACTTCTGCGGGGGAGCGGCACACCGCCGGCCGGCTCTCTCGGGGGCTGCACAGGTGTTCCTCAGGTATTCCCCTTAGATGTTCCTGGTGCATGTTGTCTCTCTCCTCCTTTATAGTCCTCCTCCGCCAATCCTAACTCGGCTGCCCACACGCCGAGTATGCTGCTCTCCTCCAATCAGGAGCAGGATCAGCTCCTGGAGGTCATCACTCAAGTTGGCAAGAGGCAGCTGCGTAGAAGCTGTTTTCTCCTCTCCCAGCGCCATATTGTGGGAGAGCAGATGCATAGAATAAGTCTTAATTCCAGTAACTCAGTCCAGTCCGGGTTGCTCCCCACAGTTTTGCACCAAAAACAAATGTCTCCAGGCCAGCGCTGTGGCATAGGTATACAGCTGCGGCCTGCAGTGCTGGCATCCCACATGAGCACTGGTTTGAGAGCTGGCTGTTCCACTTCTGATCCCGCTCTCTGCTATGGCCAGAGAAAGCAGTGAAAAATGGCCCAAGTCCTTGGGCTCCTGTACCCACGTGGGAGACCTGGAAGAAGCTCCTGGCTCCTGGCTTCAGATCGGCCCAGCTCTGGCCATTGTGGCCATTTGGGTAGTGAACCAGTGGGTGGAAGATCTCTCTCTCTCTGTGTCTCTCTCTGCCTCTCTATAACTCTGCCTTTCAAATAAATACATAAATAATTTTTTAAATGTCTTTTAATGCTATTTTCTGTGAACTCTTTGAAGAACCCTCATAACTAAGTGGTTTTGGCTATTGGAATTGTCACTACCAAGGCTCCATTTTGGAGGCCAAGTTGCCACATGAGCCAGGACAACACTGCAGGAATTCTCTGGCTAACGAGAGACATGTGGCCCCGTGTGCTTTCAAACTGCTCTCTGTTCCTACACCCTTAGGAACAGAGGGCAGCCGCAGAAATGCTGAGTCACTCTTTAGTTTCTCTTCTGCAAATACACCAGCCGTCACTTCATGCCCAAAGAAAGAACAGCTTTGTGATGCCAAGGCCTGGAGCACCTCGGTTTGCGGTGAGTCTCTGGAAAGAGAAAGTCCAACTGCCTTCATTTTAGCTAAGGGTAACCTGCAGTAGCATTTTTCTAGTCTCCATACTATAAAAGTAAGACAGAACCACTTAGCTCAGTGCATGGCTCCAGCTCTTCATAAACTGCAAGTCTTTTTGACCCCCAGCTGTTTCTGCCCAGTTTCCAGGAGGAAGCTCCAGTTGTCAGAATCACATATTTGTTTAAAAATAAAAAGTGCCGTGTTAACGGCGTAAGGCACATTGAAGCAGCTGAGCTGTGTCACTGTGTCGGGCATAGGTGAGGGAGGCTGGAGCTGCAGGGAGCCCAAACCCGATACCATTGGCTGGGAGCTTGGAGAGGATCACTGTTCCTACCGAAATAACACGGCTGGCTGTGACAGAATAGGAGCTGCAGGTGCCAAGGGCTTCTCCCTCCCCCGTTGCAACCTGATCTTGAATTCTGAGCCTTTGTCTCTATAATAAAAATCCTTAATATAGAAGAGTAACACTCACTCTTAAAAAAATTAGCCAACCTATAGTCTCTAGGATTCTCAGTTATGCTTTTTTATACAGATAGCAATAATTTCTATTTGTAATGAAGACCCTAAAGAGTTCATCTCAAAGTATATTCACAATTATGCACACACACACACACACACACACACACGAATGCTGGAGCGTGTACTAGACCAGGATGTCGCATAAGAACTCCTGAGTCCTCTCACTCAGGGCTGCTGACTCAACTGGGAGAAGGAGATAGATTCTCTGCTCTACAGATGACTCACTTCTCCATATCCATGCACGCAGCACAGATCTTTCTAGAATGGTCCCCAGTACATCAGTCAAGAACATCAAAGCAGACTCAGCAGGCAGTTAGAGAAGAGTTCAACAAAGGCATGACTTTCAAGGGTGTGGGCAGAGCTCAAGGAGACCCCAAGGGCAAGGGCAGTGCTCCTTGGCAGTGTTAACAGCACGTTACCACCCCAGCCTGCGAGTGAGAGGAGAGAGCTATGTCAGAGCGTGGGGAGGGTGGGTATGTGCAGAGGGGTCCCTGGCGGGAGCTGTGGTCATCCACGAGGCCAGGGTAGAGAGGATGTGGGAATCAACATCCTAATCACTCCCGCCCACCTGGTGATGCCCTCTGCTTACCACAATGAAATACCTGGCACAGCGACTTACAAAGAGAAGAGAGGCGTACTTGGTTCCCAGTTTGGGAGGTTTAGGAGCATGGGAGTGACGTCAGCTCAGAGCTGGCGAGGACCTCACAACATATGATGGGCGGTGGGGAGCCGTGGGGGGGGAGCCCATGTCAGGGCAGCAGGTCACGTCTCACACCAGGAGCCAGACTCGCTCCTTCGATGACAGCCCTCTCTCCAGAACGGCCAAGGGCTGCACAGGAAACAGCTTCACGTCTCCAAAGACCGAAGGATCTGCCACTTGGCCCCATCTCCCAAAGTTCCCACTACTACTCAGTGTGGCCAGCTGGGGACTAAACCTGGGCACTCTTGAAGGATGCGAAACGTATTTGATGTACAGCTCCACCCACACGGATCTGCTCCCAGGACACAGATACGCGTGGGGACATGGGTGTGGAGGGCAGGGCTACAGGGGCAGAGAAGAAATCCCACGTCCAGAGTCATCACGATGTTCCCCCTTCTGGTCCTAGGGTTAGGACCTGGGTCAGATCTCTCAGAGCACGGACAAATGTGCTCTCTCCTTCTCCCAAGGCTGGACCTTGCTCTCTGACACAAGAGAACATTTTCAGCAAGAATGTGAATGGTCTCATCATGATTTCTGATGATAAGACATTATGTTGACCTCTTGAGCCCCCGCCACCGATCAGGTAATAGCTTGGAAGAACAGCACATAATAACTCCTGGGTCTAGAATGAGGTTTTACTGACACCTGGCTGCCTATAATTATTGGAGCCGGTTATAAATTTCACAGTCACCGACTTGAGTGTGCAAAAATGTAATTTTCTCCATTCTCCTGTAATTGAGTGTAATTTCCGCCTTGAGCCTCCATTCTGCCTCAAAGCAGAGAAAATTTAATCGAGTCACTTTCAGATAAACTCATTCAAATTCAGTCTTTTCTTAGTCAATTCCAGTTTATAATTCAGCCACAATTGAGTTTAAAACTCTCTTTTTCTGTCCCCTTATCCCTTTTTTCTCCCCTGAAATTCAATCTAAGCTCTCCAGGGCCTAGCCAAGAGGTCCGTCCACTTCTCAGTCCTAATTTGTCCTCTCTGGCTCTGAGTACCATGGATGTCAGGTGCTCCACTAAAAGTGGGTGGCCCGTGGCATACAAAGGGGTTCTCAACTTCTCTCTAGTGAGAGTGCAGCGCTGTCCTTCTCTGCTTCGCACACCTCACCCTGGGCCAGCTCACCGGCTCTCCCGCGCCTCACCTTGGGCCAGCTCACCGGCTCTCCCACGCCTCGTCCTGGGCCAGCTCACTGGCTCTCCCGCGCTGTCTGCTGAGGTCTATGCTGCGTGGCAGCCTTCAGGACACTGCAGGTGCCCTCTCGTGCCACCATGCC